CCTTGCAGCCAGCCTGATCTCAGCGATTCGAACCCCGCTTCGAGCTACAGGTGTTTAACCACTTTAGCGCTCGGCCGCTGGTGGGCGGTTTTCGGGCGGGGTTTGAAGGATATCCGTTGCGTCTGTTGTCAAAGAAGCGGCGATATATCAGAAATCCCATCTGTTTACGTCCTAGGAATACTATCCATTTGTGTCTATCACTATAGAAATTTGACTCTTAAATACTTGCCAGGAGGTCTTACCATTATATGTGGATAGCTTTAGAGAAAGACAATAAGGAAATGGGTAGAAATTGAAAACTATCAGAATTGCTTCTTGCGGTTGCTATGAATTTGTTTATGGTGTAAACTTCTTTTGCGGCAGCAGAAATACTGTAACTTATTTTTATTCGACGGCAGAAGCTCTATGTTCTATTTGTTATTTTGACGGAACACGGAAGGAACTCTATCTTCAGTTTCTCTAACTTTGTTTTCAACCGTGTCTGTTCCGCCTTACATAGCTTCAAATTGGTTTTCTTTATAATGGCAGTAATTTCTGTTTTTATTTCCTCTTTACTTGCTTCAAGTTTGACCTGACGGCCCCTTCCATCCTTTTTTGCCTCGCTTTCATCTCTTCCTTCAATGGATGCCAATAACAAAGGATGCCAACAGCTGCCTCAATTGCTCCTCCATTTCCCTTGTCATCGGCATTCAATTCCACTTCTGACACCATAAACCATTGCGTGCGTACAGGTCCGTAATAGATTGAAGTACACAGAACCGACGATAGATTGATAAAATATATTTTACGAAAGGAAATACTTCACAGTTCACAGTTAGAAATTTGCTAAGCATGGGTATCAATGACTTGGATAACTTCAATTAGTCGCGAAACCCATCGCCAACTTGGCGATATCTCGCCAATTTTGCGAGATAGCCATTTACTGACTGTGAAATAGACTTGCCCTTGTGTTCTAATATTTCTGGCAAGGCTTCGCTGCTTCTTTAGATTGTAATGTTACATTATTCGAAAAACAAAATACTACAGTTTAACATATAACTTCACTAAAATTATTTACACTTAAAACTCCTTACCTGGCCTTTATTTTGGCAGTCGTTGGTGATAGTCATATACTTGCATTTTCAGAAGGGTTTAAATAACGAAAATGTTCATTTGTTAGCAATGTCAAATTAAAAAGTTGATTTTCAAGAAATAAACGAAATCTAACTTTTAGTATAGTTTCTTTACTCCTATATATTTAGGAACGTTTTATATTTGTGATGAAAAAACAAAATTATAAGAAGTTTGACTCCCTTACGACAAATTTATTGTTATATTTAATTTCGAAAGTTGCGATTTTTGATGTCATTTTCGATTTGCCTTGAGGGATGGGTTAATTGAGCTAGAATAAGTGTAGGAAATTAGTTAAATAAAGTGCAGCAAAAACTGTGTACACTTTAATAGGCGTACAAGGAAGTCACGTGGTGTCTACGTTAGATTTTTTAAAAATTCTTTTGTCTTGTAATCCGTCAACAAATTATATGTCTTTTAAATTTCTAAAGTAAATTGTTATTGAAGAAAGATTCCACGGGATTTATAAGGAAGTTTTTTTTAAAAGAAAATAATTTAGTTTATTAGAAAGGCATAAAATTTAATCTCTATAAACGAAATTCTGTGATAACATAAGGTATATTTGAAACTCTTAGGTAAACTATTTATGTGCGGTGGATTCAACGGTGTCCGAGTTTTATCGTCTGTAGAGATATATGATCCAGAATCTGACCAGTGGACTATGATCACTCCTTTACTTGGACCTCGAAGTGGGCACACAGTTATCTCTTATAAGGGAAATCTCCTGACTATTGGAGGCTATGATGGCAGACATAGGTTGCGTTCAGGTAAGAGAAAAACAGTTTTAATTTTATGTTGGTATATCGTAGAGAGTATTAGGATATTTTTGGAATAGTAAAATTGGAAAATTAAAGTATGCGTGAAAAATGTACCATGCCCTCGCCGGAATTCGAATTACCGACGAGGGCATGGTATATACTCGACGCGTATCCGTATCTCCCGAATACGCGTCGAATGCGGAAAGAAGAGAGAATTTGTTTGGTTTGATTTAGTTGATTATGGCAAAGCATACTAGGGCTATCTGCCTAAGGGAAGGGATGACTTCATGGAGAATGTTCTAAGGAAAACGGCTCTTATACACGTTATACACGGGGTAAACTTTGAAAACGCTTTTGCAACCAGTCTGTTCGCCTGGAATCGAACTCAGGTTGTTAGGTTGGAACTACCAGTGTTCAACGATTTTGCCGCTCGGCCGCTCATGAGCTTTGGAAAAAAGAGAGAAAATACCTTATAAAATAATAAGAATAAATTAATAATGTATAGGCGAGTGGTATAAAAAATAAGAAAAAAATAAGTGATGAATATAAACCATCTATCCAGTAAAATAGAAATCTAAGCTTGATCTTTGTCTAATTTTAAATGTGAAAACTAGTGTGTCTTTCTTTCGCATATTAGAATGTTATTATATTTCCGTTGTCTCAGGACTTAGTTCATTGCAATAAATGAAATCCCTGTGTAACAGATACACTCCGCGTAGGAAATGAAGTATATTATACTGTGGTCTTCGCTAACTGAAACTTAAGCATAAACAGAAACGACGTCTGGGAAGGAAATTATGATATTTACATGTTGCAAATGTCATAATTTCCAAGACAAACTCGTAACCCGGTATTCCATTACCTTTCAGTTATTCAGCGACCTTTCATAGCTTTCCGATAATGCTGACTTCGATTCTTTGATCACACATGTATATTTTAAGTATGAACAAAGAGTATTAGGTAGATTTCCAGACTGCAGTTTTTTAATATATTTAATGACAGTATTACTCTTTACCTACAAAGTGTAATACTTTCATTAAATATATTTAAAATTTCAAATCCTTATATTTTTTAAGTGGTGGAAAACAAGGTATTTGCCCAGCTTTTAAATCTAAAAGTTATTTAATATCGCGTGTTTTATTTCAGCAATGCAGTTCGACGAAACAGAAGATTGCTGGATGAATTTTGCTCCAATGCTCGGCTGCAGAAGTAATTTTGGGGCAGCTGTATTTGAAGGCCAACTTTATGTCATTGGAGGCTACAATGGTGAGCTGAGTTTCCCTCTTTCTCGTAAAATATTAAAAAATAAAGCAAAGTAATTCTACCTTCTTCCAGACGTTTCTTTACGATTTTCGTTTTGTTCCTGCTCGTATTAACAACTTATAATCCCCACTGTTTTTTTTTACTTCCTTGTACGAAGTAAAAAGGAAGTATTGTAATCGCGAAAAATTTTAGGTATCATATTTCAACGAAAATATCGATTTTTGAATGCGGAAATCGAACTAAAAATTAAAACTTCTACCTGTAGAATTATCGCACATCTTCAAGAATAATAGGAAAATTACAGGACGCCATCAAATGACACTGATAGTACGTCACAATGACGAGAGTGTAAGAGAAGTGTATATAACGAACGGTAGTAAAGAAGTAAAATTATTCGCAAGCGTTCTGTAAGCATTCTCACCTGACTTGAATCTGTTACAGCATGTGTGGCACATGCTTGCAGACGAATTGCAGCCCGACAGGCACCTTCTACTTGTGTACGGGAAATTTGGAGAGCGTTGCTTGCTGAGTTGAGTAATTTAACCGAAGATCAGCTCTATAGAATTTGAGGCGTTGTACGGACTCTGTATTTCAGCGTCTGGAAGACATGCAATGTATTTATTAACCATCATACTAACCATTTAATATTAAATTTTTAAAGGAGATATTTTTTTCTAATTGCTCTCGAGAGCAAAAATCGTAGTTTTTATGAGTGGTATCATACACACAACAGCGTTTTTGTTCTTTATCTTTTGCTTAATAAATGGGCTTTATGAAAAAGTCACGTTTGCTTTGTTTCTGAATCTTTATTTGCCGAAGCTGGCATCCTTAATTATCCTTAATTTATGGACATGAGAGTGTATTTGCTAAGAAAATAGTAGATTAAAGACTAAAAATATAGCTCATACTTAAGTACAGCTACTAGCATAATAACTGACATAAGCCGTAAGTCACCGAAAACCAGCGGAGTAACTATGATAGGGAAATATAAGACTTACAGCACTATAGGCCAAGATGCTAATAATCTGTCTCCAAACTTATATTCTCGTTCCTTATTTAAATTCACTTCACTTCAATTTCTGGTGGAGTTGACTGGAAACGTAGAAGTCCAGAAAAGATTTAACATAGCAAATAACATGCTTAATAAATTAAACCTTACAACTTTTTTATAATTATGATTGATAATCATTCTACAGTTCATAGTAAAAGCCTATATTCCAACACCTTTTTGTTCTATTTTATGCTCGATCATCCCAGCAATTTACTGCGATGTTTCTTGCTTGTACAAAACAGATTGCATAATTTCTCTGGCTACTATGGAAAACAAACATTGTCTTCCTTTGACTATCATGGATCGATATGGATATTATGCATCATACATAAACCCGATACCTATAACAAAATAAAAAATCAATATAATGAATGACAGTAATCAGCTCAAAGTGGAGAAGCAATCAAGAATATCCATAACTATATGTGCCTGAAAATGACGCCGACCGACATTGCGTGTTCTCCTGAGGGAATTCAATTGTACATGCATTACTTATGAATGGCAGAGAATGCACTGAAGGAGGAGATCTCATTCTTTTTTTAACTGCATAGTGTTATTAAATTGTTAATAAAATTACAGAGTAGACTTATTCATGAAGGAAAGTAGTAGACTTTCACTGTGATAACTTATTTTCTCTTATGGCTCTTTCTATCTCTCTCTTTTCTCTTAATTTTATGCAGATGTCAAAAGCATGTAAACGGAGATTTTCCAATCTTTTTCTTACATCAACCCCTTCGGAAAGAATATTTTTTTTTTGTCGATACCCTAACATTTTTTCTCTATACTGCAACATAATACAAATAACTGCGTATATATAACTTAAAGATAACAATTAGATTAAAAATATGAACAGAAGTTTATGAAAAAATTGGTTTATTACACTGATGTTTTATTATTTTCTGTATTCTTAGTAATTTTAATTCTAAAAATAATAACAAGATTTCTAACATAAAATCACCAATTCTAATTGTCCAAAAAGTCGGTTTCAATGAATGCGATGGCTGCGTTAAATGTATTGATGCAACCTCTGGAATATTTGGTATGAAATTGGGTTAACATAATTCTTAAATCACCTCTTTCAAAAATATTTAACCTGCTTCTTGTTCTCTGTGGTAAATGTTTGGATTGGCTGAATAAAAGGGCAAAATCAATGATGTTGATCCAGTAACAAATTTTAATTTTCGAATATTTCTCTCCAATGACTTTTAAATTCCAAAAGTTAGCTTATCCATGTGTTTTGATTAAGATTTGACATGTTTTTATTACAGAGCTTTATATCAATAAATGATTATTTAATTATCAATGTTATAAATGCATTTTTATAATCAATGGTTCTTAAATATGCCTTTCAATTGAAGATGCGTATTCGGCCATCGACTTCCAGTCGATCCATTGATCATCATAAACCTTTCTAAAATTTCATCGACCTCCAAAGGTTCCGTAACGACTCCGTTTAGAACCACAGACCTAGACTACAGTAATCGACGATATAATCTTTTGAGGCCCGGCGAGCGAACTGCACATTTGTTTACGTCTCCTGGTTCAAAATAAACTAATGACTCTACAAAATTTTTTATTCAATAATGTTTTTATACTTCTGACAAGAGAGTAATGTTCTTATGCTACTTTTTCACAGCTTCTGGAGTTTATTGTTCTTATACTTCTTATTTATAATTCCTAGAAAATACTGTTATACTTCTTATTCATAACTCGAGGTACGAATATGCCCAAGTTTGATAAGAGACAAATATTTAAATCCTTCTGTAACGCATTAAGTAACTAACTTTGTCTTAAGTCTGTAACACATTAAGAATCTGGAATACTTAAGTAAGTAATTTTGTAATACATTTGTAGAGACATCAGGCTGTTTATGAAGCAGGAAAGATGAGAAATAAGCAATGCCCTCTCCGGGACTCGAACCACGGACCTCTCGATTGCGCGTCGAGGTTGATGACCACTACACTGCGAAGGCAAGCTAAGAAGGCGGGAGAAATAACTTAAAATCCTTAACTCCCATCTTTAGGAATTTTAACTACACTTTTATTTTTCAGTTGAACAGTCTCAAAACCAACTGATATTCTAATATTACTTCTAAAAACATTTGATACTTCTGATTCCAATCATTTCAATGAATGTGAAAGTGAAAAGTTCTGAAATGAAAGTGAGATTACAATGTAGACTTAAAAAAAAACTAAATGCAGTGTTTAGTTTTCTAAGCCGAATCCAGCCACTTGAATTTAAACTTTTAGTTTAATATAATTGAAACTCAGCTACATGATTTAAATGACCGTCTAATACGAATATCAAAGAAACGCGAGAGTTTATTAATTTTTAAGAAATCAAAGTATTTTGTTATTAATCACTTTTAATCTTACAGGCGAAACTACAATTTCAGACGTCGAGAAATTTGAAGATTCCAAGAACGAATGGAGGAAAATACAAAGTTTAAATATGCACAGAAGTGCACTCGGAGCTTGTGCTTTTAGTGACGTCACAAACGTTACAGAGTGTTCTCCTAAAGGTATTCCATTAAAATTACATTTGTTAGTTTTACAGGAATTTTTATTTTAAAAATAAGTTTGATGCTTGAAATTGAAATACATAAAACATCAAATTGCTAATGTTCGTGAATGTGAATAGGCTGTAAGAATAATTAACATTATAACTTAATTTAATATATATTCACGCCGCATTTAAATATACTTATGAAAATACTGCTATTCTAGATTGTTTTGTCCCGTTTACCTGCAGGAAATATAATCCAAAAGGATGAATATAACATGAAAAGGTGAAGCAAAAATAGAAATTTAGATTTACTAAAAAAATAGAAAAACTAAAACAAAACAGAAATCTTACATGGTGTATTAATATTTAACATGCCACCTCCTGTGTCATCCTGATCACGGGAATATTTGTAAAACTGCTTTTTAAATCGTATACATACTTTACGGATACTTTGGTAGACTGTTCATAAATCTAACCAGCTGTTCAAAGAGTAAAGAATCCCTCTGTTCAATAAGCACCTTTCCTAAGCTTTTCAATGACCTGTGGATGTAGGTTATGTTATACAGTGAGTGGGCAAGAGCGTCTTCTGAACAACTTCTGTACAAGCTATCGGACTGAAATCCAGTAAGCAATCTATCTGATATGAACTCATTACATCTTTAGATTTCATATACTGACGTACCAGGCTACGCCTATGAGAACGTGCATAATTGTGCATTAAGTGGAACTCAACGAAATCATTTATAAAATGCTTCACGTACAAGATATGCTATAGTTCTTTGCTGAGGTTTATGAACCTCAACTGTTACAATAAGACGCACGCTACTTTGAAATAATACCACTTCATGTAATGATTTCTCTGTTTTCATGGTATATTAAGTGGAATCCAAGACGAAGTCATTTACAAAATGCTTCGCATACAAGATATCTCATGGTCCTATGTTCAGGTTTATAAACCTCAACCTTTACAATAAGACGTACGACGCAGCCTTGAAATGATACCACTTCATCTAATGATTTCTCAGCTTTCATGGTATATTAAGTGGAATCTAAGACCAAGTCATTTACAAAATGCTTCGCGAATAAAATATCTCACGGTCTTATGTTGAGGTTGATGTACCTCAACTGTTAAAATAAAATGCACAGAACTTTGAAATGATATCACTTGATGTAATGATTTCTCAATTAGTATGTCGTATTAAGTGGAACCCAGGACGCAGTCATTTATAAAATAATTCGCATATAAGATTTCTCATGGTCCTATGTTGAGTTTTAAGAATATAAATCTCAACTGTTACAATAAGATACACACAACTTTGAAACGATACCACTTCAGATTTTAATTTCTCAACTTCGGTAAAATCTTCTCTATTTCTCTTTAGACGATCTGAGCAAAATCTTAACTTTGAACTAATCTCTGACAAATAAACCTTATCTCCTTTGAAACCGGTTTTCCGGAATCCCATATATTTTCTGAAATCTTATATCGCGATTAGAAAAACTGTGAAGTCTTAGGGGCAGAGGGACAAGCGTTTCGGAGCTATAGAACCCACAAGTAGCACTGAAGTGTGTATAGATGGACATATCTCCGTAATGGCGTCTCTATTTCTTGTATGTTCATTCATTGTCTGCTTCCTAAGTACCTGATGGTAAAGTCCTACAAAAGAACTGGTACCTGAAGGATTTACGGGAAAGATCCAGCCTCTAGATATTTCTTTTTTCAGACACTGCAAATCTTTTGTTCGTTACATAACGGGCACAATCATTATCGAGACACAGGAGCACATTTGGCATCGCGATAGTTTTCTGGCATGGCAATCATTTTCACTATATCAGTTCAGCGCTCCTCGTTTTAAGAACTTGATTAAGTATGCTTTTTATAAGATACTTGGACGACGAACCTCGAATGTTGATTCCGCCAATGGATTACTGCTTCAATTCATCGACAAATACTGTGTGCTATCGCTTTTGGTAAAATGTGCGCATTATAAACTGTCTTTCTGCCTGTCTCACTTATATTATCATTTTTGCCACAAAGTCATTTGTCATATATCATGTATATATTTCATTTCTGAGGTTAAGGCCCTCGTTACAGTCCTCATTTTTTTAGCATCGTCTCTCCCGCTCCCGCTCTTGAGCGACCTCTTAAGTGGTGCGTTTCTCGGCCAAGGGGATACGAGACCTCAGGTCGACGGAGTTTTATGTCCGATAGGACCAATCACGTCATATAATAGGGGGACTGGAAAGCAATGTCGCTTTCTTATATTAAATTCAAACGAATAAATTTGTAACAAGTTTTTATTTTTAATCAATAATATAAACACCCTCGTTATCAGCAACCTTTTACCATCTAGTATGCCGATTTCAATCCCAGACCGATAAAAATCAATTGGTTTTTGAGTAAAATATCTCGGGATGGCATTTTGGACATCATCCAAATTTTCAAATTTTTTGTCACTAAGAAAACTGTTGTAAGGATCGGAATAAATAAAAATCCGAGGGTGCGATATCGGGCGAATAGTGTGGGTTAGGCAGTACCTCCCACCCCAATTCATTATATTTTTCCAGTGTTCGTCTTGAACAGTGCGGTCTTGCATTGTCGTGTTGCAGAATGACACCTTTCCGTTGACAATCGCCAGATATTTTTCGATTAAAAATTAGTTCACTAGATCCAACTGTTTACAATAAAGGTCTACATTAACAGATTTTCCAGGTTTCAGCAATTCAAAATGAACAATTACGCGAATACTCCATCAAACACCCAGAAGCGCCTTTTCGGGATGTAAACCCTTTGTAACCCCTATTAAAACTGCCTTTTGAGTTTTGGATTATCATATAGGACTTATTTTTTTGTCTCCACTAATCAAACTATCAAAACACGGTTCTGTATGGTGCCGTTGAAGCAATACGTTGCATGTGATGGATAGGTTGGCTTTATTCTTTTCGGACAGATTATGGGGAACTCAAACACCTGCTTTGCTTATTTTTCCATTCTGCTTTAAATGCTCTTGGATGGTCGACCAAGGTTGTGTTTGACATGGATTTGCTTCCACTTCTGCCCTTAGCACGTTATTGTCGACATGCGCAGAACGACATTACTTTCTGGTCCCCCTATTATATATGCCACCATGCTATTTTCATATGCAAGGCTATGTTCTGTATGCCGTGTAGGTTATATGACGCTATGTATTTTATGTTGCAAATCTGTGACGTCAATATGTTATGTTGGAATACTATGTATATTATGTCTATGAGATGCTATGGTATGTCGCTACGCTATGTCTACCTTTCGTGTAGTTAAGTTACGTTGTGTATTTAATGCTGTAAATATATAATCTTTATACTATGCTATGTCATATCATGTTGCAATGCTGTGCCATGTTAAGTCTACGCTACGCTATGATATGTCACCATGCAATGTCCTCCTGTCGTATAGGTCATGGCCACACAGCGAATCGTATATTGTAAATATGTAACCTCAATATGTTATGTCGCTCTGCTATGTCCATATGCCATGCTATGCTATGTTGCAATATTATGCTATGTCTTATCTATGATTAATTACGTTATGTCGCTATTCTATGTCCACCTGTCGTGTAAGTTACATTACGTTGTGTATTTAATGTTGTAAATATGTTATGTCGCTATGCAATGACTATATTCTATACTATGTCGCGTCGAAATGCTATGCCATGTCATATCTATGATCAGCTATGTTTATGTCGCCAAACAATGTCCGCATGTCGTGTAAGTAATGCTACGCTAGATATTTTATGTTGTAAACATGTATGCTCTAGATGGAGCGGGTCCCGGACTATACCCGATTAGTCTTTGAAAGCCGTCCGGGTGTCCGGCCCACCTGTCACCTGCCTGTCTCACTGTTTATTTGATGAATTGCACATTGATTGTCTCTCGTAATAGATTTTGTTCTAAGTCAATGACAAGTCACATTTTCAACATCCCAACGTATTATGTTTTTTTTTCAAGGAGTTGTTTCTTCCTTTATATTGAGATCCACACCTTCTTATCATATTGTTAGTTCATATAAACACGTGAAACGAACATTTTAGAGACTTTTGATGTCATGTTTCCAACTTTGTGAGCTCTATAGCTCTTAAACGCTTGTCCCTCTGCCTCTAAGATTTCACAGTTTTCAGAAAATATTTGGTTTTCCTGTAAATCGGTATCAAAGGAGAGAAGCTTTACGTGTGAGGCTCACGAAACATGCTTGCATAGAGAATTATTCTCTAGGCCGAAATGACTCTCATCAGTAAGCCATGCATTGTCACATGATTGTGGGATACAAGCAAGGTATTCCGTACACATTTTTTATCGTCTGAATTTGCCTACCTTTAAAGAAATGTATACAGCAGGCTAATCTCACATAGTTGTGGTTTGTAAACATATGGTGATTTCTTTTATCTGTAGACACTCTTCTATATGGGGTACTGGGCTTGCTGTTTAGGAAAAAGAATTTATAATCACCTATATTTGTTGTTCTGTTGTCCATTTTTACGACTAAGCGACCTTTATTGCATTCGAACAATCTTCATTAGTTTCCATTTCCTAAATGTGTAGGTTTCGCTTGGCAAAATATGTTCTGGTAATGTGGTTAAAATCAATTTTTTCAATGATCTTATTGTGTATGCGTTATGTCATTTATATGGATTTTTGTACAATATTTAGCGTTCAATAACCATATTTGGCTGTGAAAAAGCAGTAACTATACTTTTCTTTTAAAGCATTGAGGAAAACTTCTATTCCAGTTACTCAGATTAATTGAAATCTGCATCAAAAGTAATTTTTTACTTCTTTGTACGAAGTAAAGGAAGCATGCTAATCGAGAAAAAATTTGGGTATCATCTTTCAACGAAAATATCCATTTTGATCTCTCTCGAATCCATTTGAACGACATTTTGGATAGCGTAGGAAAAGGGCATATACCTGCTTACTTTTGGTAGACGCTAGGATCCTCCGTTCTCCGTCACCTGTACGTACAGATAGAAAAACGGACTCTCTTTCCAAAAAGGGGATTGTAAAATGTATTTCTTTTTGACGTCTGTACTTATGCACGTACATATGTATGTATCTCCCATAACTCAAAAATGATTAACCGTGTAACATTGAAATTTGTATGTGGAACTATTATAAAATCTATTTGTGCACTTCTCTTTCTTCTTGAAATCGGAACATCAATCAGTGCCCCAACTTGAGTGTCGTTTTTCCCAGTGGGACCGAAAGTTTACTCTAAATCTGGTACACCGAAAAGTTTGTCTTTCCGCCTGCTGACCGAACAGCTTGTTTTTGCATAGAAACTGTAATTTTAATTTCAAAAATCATTTTTAATTATTTTCAACTGTATTTGGCGATTTAGATTTTTCAGTATTTTACAATTTTTATCGAAGATTCGAATTGAAATTATCGAAGATTTGCCGCTGGATTAAATGAGAAACATGTCTCTAATAAAATTTCAGGAAATAAGTTTAAATGAAGAGCAGCGAAAAATGAACACAATTTAATAAGAAATCATGTGGTGTCCACATTAGATATTTTGTTAGTAAATTTAATGAATTATTTCTTTTAGAAGTGATAAGCAACATAGTTGTTTCATTCAACCACTGACAAATATGAATGGCAATGATGCAGACCTTAACTTATAGACCTGTATGTATATATAGGCTTTGATCACTAGTAGTGTGTAGTGTGTTCTCTTCTCGGCCAGCAGCCGAGCTGTATAATGTTTCTTTGGTTTAGCATTTCGTAACATGAATTAAAGTACGTCTTTGTTAGATGGTTCTTACGAAAGACTTATCATTTAAGCAGATATCCCTTGTAAGTTTTGCTTTAATGAAATCAACCACTCAACCTACTATTTTGTAGTTCTGAGTTTTGCGTCATCTTCCTCAAATTCATCTTCACTATGTTTTTACGTCTTTGTACGAAGTAAAGGAAGCATTGAATCGAGACAAATTTCGTTTATAAGATTTCAACGGAAATATCCATTCTGATAGTTCCCGGATCCATTTTGACTATTTTTGGCGTGACTTCTGTACGTACGGATGGAATGAAGGACTCTTTATTCCAATAAAAATGGATTTTTACGTGACATCTGTATTTATATTCCTGACATCTGTATACCTAAGTATTCTTCATAACAAAAAAAAAATTATTAACCATAAAACGTGGAAGTTTTGTATGTGGAACTACTATTACTAACATCTAGTTGTGCACCTCCCTTTTTTATTGCAAAAGGCAGTACCAAACCTATATATATGTATGAAGTATCTTATTACTTAGTATCTATCTTATTTCGTAGTTACGGAACTTTAGTTTAATTATCGAATTATATTTATAGTTTTGCATTTATTGTCTTATTCGAACGGAACTACATGGCAATCGAGAATATGTTTTATTTACCCTCAGTTAGAAATAAGGTTACTTTTAGTATAATAATTTATGTTTTCTTTCTTCACCAGAAACAATAAGAAAATTTAGATTTACACAAATATATTAAAAATTTTAGCTCTGGGCTAGCTCTGTGGGAGAAAAAAATCCGTTATTTACCCCCGTTTGAACATCATCTTCTTCGAAAGAGAAATAAATGGTTGGAGCAATGCTTAAGTCCCAAGACTACTGCCACCGCTGAAATGCACCGTCAAAATCATTTCCGCATAAGTCAGTGCATAACATTTCGTGCTTTGCGCTGGAGCTTGCTAACAGTCTGAAACGGCAGCCATTCAGCTGCATCTTTACCTTCGGGAAAAGAAAAGAGTTTGCAGAAGATAAATTTGGCAACCCGAACACGTGAACTAGAGATAAGGTCAATGTGGTTGGCCAGAAAGTGCCGAACGAAGAAAGTGTGTTGGGTCTCAGAGTACACTGTTGTCATGGAAAATCCATTGCTCGTGCTGCATGGTGTAGACATCAGGATTAATAAGCCACAACAATAGTGTCTGCAATTTGTTGATCATCTTCCGCCGTTAAACGTGCAAATGTTCCTGTTGTTCCACATTTTGGGGTTTGATACTCCTGGACGGTCTTCCAGATAGTTGATCGTCTTACAGGACAGTCTTGCTCCGTTGAAACGCCTATGGAACTCGGGACATTGCGTACGACTCATCGCCGAAACATGTTCAATGTATCTATGACCCATGTTATCTCTGTCTTCCACCTTTATATCCATGATATAAGTCAGGTTACCACATTAATGAGATCATAGAAACACCATTTTAAGAACTCGTGACGTTAATACAGCTATGTTTCTTAACACACTATCATCTCAAGATTGAGGGCCACTACAGCTGCCAACGCTACAAACCTAATCCGGGAGCTTTTTCATGTGTCATTATAAAGTTTTACATAACTTTTCAAAAACATTGATAAAAGCTGCAGTGGCATTATATAGCCAGGTATATCAGCCAGCGCTTTTTATTAGAAGGTAATTTCACATTCACTCCTATGCATCAGTCCCGCCTTGAAAGAGAAATTCTTATTATTATTCTTATTATAAATTATTGTATTTTATATATAGCCTCAGTAAAATTAACTGTTGCATAGAGAGTGCGTCAAAATGTTTTGGGACTAATTCTTTTGTAATTATATAAAGACCTTTTAAACAATAATGTACAACATGTATCTCTGTAATATTTCAACTTCCTTTTTCTAAAATATCTTATTGCAGAATTTTCTGTGCATTTAATCGTTTCCTTTGATCCAGTAAACGTCTGCCTTTATACAGAATGTCTAAAACTTAGTATAAGTACTGCGTATATTACCATTAGTTATGAAATTTGGATTATTCCTAATGTGCTGACGAATTTTCACTTAAATAGGGCCTGTCATTATAAGAATAGTCCAGCTTGAACAGCCCACTCCTTAACGGTTTTGGTCAAGGATTTAGTCATCAAGTGACAGATTATTGTATCATTCTGAGAAGAGATTCACGAGAATGAAGGTACCTATGCAGTTCTTTTCATGAAGATGCTGGATTTTAATGATTTCTACATCTATTGAGCTTTGAATTTTGAAGAATCTTTATATTCTAGTATTTGAATTACGGAGAAAACAAAATTTTGGAGAACACTGAGATTTTTCTAAACACGTTTTCGAAGCGTTTCCAGCAAGTGTTTCAGAATGACTTTTATAACTAAAGATAACTAAATTAATTTTAAGTATTTTTCTGCTTAAGAGTTTAAGAATTTTATTTCTATATTTTTGTAAGTACGTTTCAGACACTTTTGCTTCTTATTACTTAATTTTATATATTTTATTAATTCAGAAAATAAAACTTCATATGCTTATTTAATAACTGACATTTATTCTGTTAAATATTTATGATTACATTTTTTTGTTTAAGAATCTCTTTTTCATAGCCTACGAAATTGTTTTCTAAAAAGGAATAAAAGTCTGCAAAATTAATTAAAAAAATTCCTGAAAATCGGTGACTTAAGCGAAAAATATTAATATTCAAGTATAATGTAGAATAATCACTTTATTCCAATTCACACAGAGTATATATAAATAACACAGGTAATATACAAATAACACATAAAATACAAAATATCACATTGAATAATTGTTTCATTTCTGCTACAATGACATAAAATTCCTCACAAACATGGGCGTCATTTATACTGTGAAAACATTAATGGACCATTTAATGATTAAAAATCCTCAAATTAGAAAGAAAATTTTATATTATATAAAATATACACAGATTTAATACAACTACTATTTGCAGAAATGTGAAACCTAAAAGAGTTTTAATTGTATTTGACATTAAATATAATATAGACATTGAAACTGGGGAAATAACAGGAATATAATGTTCAAAATAGAAGTAAATTTATGCATTGCTTTTTTGGCATAAAACTATCTCTATTCAAAAGTTATTTTTGTATATTACATATTGAATTTTCTATCATCAGTCAAGCATTACTATATATATAATTTAGTTTTAACTTTAGAATCTTTAAATCTATTTTACTTCAATCCTCCAGCTATAGTGCAGGACGGGTGTAAAAATTTGCTTTTAATTTTAGCCTCTTATTATATTCCTTTTTGTATTTATATATATATAATAACAGATATATATAATATGTAATAACAGAATATTGATATTAGAAGATTTCTGCAATTAAAAGTATAGTAGTATAATTAGTAAACTGAAACATTAAGACTACTCTTGCTAATGAATTTTAAACATTTTGTAGAGTTCAAAAATGATATTTCATTTCATGATTGAAAATACTACGTAAAAATACTATAAAAATTATTTTGCAACATTTTTTAAATGTACCATGCAGTTTTTTGTGTGAAACTGTTTAAATCTATCGTCTGTAAAAAGAAATGACTGTATTTATAAACAAAGAAAATATTTTAAAGCTACACGAGAATGTTTCTATAAGAGTGGACATTCACAAAAAAGGGTATAAAATCTAATATGTTGCTGATAAAGTTATTAATACTGCGTTACGTATAATATCCAATGCACACGGGCAGACTCATAACAATTTTTTAATTTATCGCTTTGACGAAATTATATGCCTAATGCTTGATAATCATTTTAACAATATACACAAATCTTTCTGTTTTCAAATTAGCTATTAAACGACTTAAATAAATGGCCTCTATTTAATTAGCTTCTAAACTTTAAAAATAAAATTTTAAAAAAATCTATCAAGAAACTAGTTAAAACACTGTTTATTTGAGGACCAAGACCGTATCGATAAAATTAAGTAGCGAGTAACTTCAATAAAATAAAATGTAAGATTATTAGTTTAATTAAAAATTAAGTTATTTTAATATAAAGAAAAAACTATTTAAGAATCATCTTATTACATTTATATATCTTTTAGAGTCAAATTTTATATAGCAAGAATAATACTTTGGCGACAAATAGAATTACCCTTTTACACTGAAATTTTTTCAATAAAATTGTAAAAATGAGTGCAACCAAATGTACTGTAACACTGGTCTCGAGAGCACTTCTGCGCATTTTTTTTGACACATTCGCACACTTTTACGCATTTTGGACTTACAGAAAGTTCTGCAATTATTACTTCTTCAGCAGCAATGAAATTTTCTGTATGTGATTTTAGATGAAGTAATTATTATGAAAAGTATCTGAAAAACTATGTCAAGGGTGTATGAAGAATTATGCCAACTATTATCATTAAATTAACAAGTATTTATTGAGTTGTAGCACTGTTGTGTGCATCGTTTATAATGACTTAATTAATCCCTTTGCTCACACATGTGCCTTGTTTAACTCCTCACATTTTTTTATCATTTTTGCTTTCTTGTATTGCAGTCACGAAGAATTTCGGGTATCATATTTCAACGAAAATATCCATTTTTTTTAACGTCTGTCCTTTTCGTAATATCTTTCTTAAATTCTTTTGCGTAATATCTGTATTTGCGGACAGAATAAAGGAATCTTTTTCCTAAAACGTATCGTAAAATGGATTCAAATAGACTTTTTTTCGTGTCGTCTCTACGTACGTATGTATGTATGTATGTTTGTATCTCGCAGAACTGAACGTTGAAATTTTGCACAGTGGGCCTGCTAACAAACACATCTAGTTGTGCACCACCTTTTAGTATTGCCATCGGCAGATATGTACCCACCCACTTACCCGGCTTAAAATATGTCAAATTAAAAAAAAAATCATTTTTCACAAATAACGAAATCTAACTTTTAATGCGGTCTCCCGGTTACTAAACCTTTATTTGAGAAAGAGAACACATTATGAAAAAAATAAAATGATAGGAAATTTGACTCTCTTAAGACAAAAATTGACTGGTATATATATAATTTCAAAATTTGCAATTTTTAACGTCATTTTCAACTTAACTCGAAGGATCGGTTATTCAAGTTAGAATAATTCGATAAAATAAATTTAATGAAGTGCAGCAAAAAATATACGTAATTTAATAGGCTGTACAAGGAAGTCATGTGGCTTTCACAGTAGATTTGTGTAAATTTTTTGTTTTTTCTGAATATACACTCATATAAGTAAATAAATGCACTCCGATTTACTAACATGGAAGCTGTAAACGACATAACTATGAAAAGTAAGTTTCGGAATGCTAAAGGTTATGTTTAAGTTTAATTTATATCAGCATTTATGATTATGATTTTGGTCACGTACGTTAATCCTTCAGAGCTTCAGATTAGGTTCTTTGAGTGAGCTAAGAAGGCTATTTGCCTTCTTCAAAGCTTAAAGAGATTAACATAAATCGCTGAACGGAAGGAAAATGAACCAAAGTTAATTTTTTTCTCTTCAGATTTCTTATTTTAATGAAAACGCTCAACGAATTCCTTCTCAAAAATACTATACGAAACCCATTTTCTCTTAACAGTAATACTGCTATTTTGTTTCCAGACCTCGATGCCACAGATTATCATAATTATATTTAGTGATATCTAGCAATTATTATGAAGATAGAGCAAAATCTCAAACTGACATTAACTGTGTACATTTAACATTCTAATAATTTTGCCAACAAGTTTGCCATTTAATTAGTTCCGACCAGTTGGTTGTTCTGGAATAGTTTATTTATTTTTTGATTAAATGGCGTTTAATTCAAAACCTTAAAATCTTCAGAATGTAGAAGGATGATTTTTATAAAGTCTAGAATTTCATACACATACATAATTTTGTGTTATCAGACTAACAGAGATTTTTGCCCTAAAATTTAATTTGCTTCAAATGCAGTATTTATATAAGAAATATAGTATATTTAGTATAAGTATTTACATAAAAAGTTAAAATCACGTGATTTAAATGTGTGCTAAGTAGAAATTTCAATACGAGATTCTTCAAATAAAAATGAAAAGGTACAGGAAAAATAGAATGAAAACTCATTAATATGCGGCATTCAAACTACTATTCTGAGTACATAATGTGAAGTTATAAACGTTTGTTAAGTTAGAAATGTTTGGCTCTTTGTTATCAATAACACTGCTAACGTATATTTTTAGATAAATTATCAATTACAATTTACGTTTACAGTAAATTGCACTAAATTGAAATTTAAAATTATTAAAAATGAAACTTAGCCAACTCTCGATTAGCAGGGTACGGATTAACCGCAAAGAAGTTCTGTCTAAAATGTCGTAAAGTTTATTTATTGTAGAATAATGAAAATATTACTGTCAGCAAATATCACAATAAAATAAAACCGTCTGCATAAAATGCAAAATTGGAAAAAAAAAAAAAAGGCATTGTGACGGCCGATATTGTCTACCAGATGAATTCTGCCAAAAAATAAAGCGTTCTATCCAATTTTATACGCGAATTTGAACTGGATGAAACATTGTTCAAGTTTCCTTGTAAGCATTTTTGTATTACTTCTTTGATGCCATTTATAGCTTAATTTCTTCTTAATTTCCTAATAATATCTTAATTTTTCCTTCTAAATTATGCTTATTCTTCCGTTATTGAAGCTGTGTTCCTTTTGTTTTGAATATTGACTTAACCATACGAATTTATTCCTTAGATTTAACTGAATATAGATAGAGCGGCCGCGGGGGCCTCGTTTATTTATGGCTCGCTGTCTCTGGGCTTTCGGTTGTAGAGTTCATCACCCTTATTCTGCTAACGTAAATGTCCAGGAACCCTGTGAACTGTTAAGAACCTATCGCTGAGTTCATATAACAGAAGTCGTTGACTCAAGAAAGGTTAACTACCCTTTATTTCCCTCAAAATAAGATAAACAGTTGGCCCCTTTCTTGGGCTTACATCAAAGCCTCCACTCGGGCTTGAACTTAAAATAAGAAATAAGAGCTAAGTTAGAACTAACTAAGAGAGACTTAGCCGAAGCTAACACAAATCTAACGTAGCTGGCTCTTAATTTAAACTAACGGGCGAATATCCAAAGGCACGTAATATACGGCCGGGCGTAACAGCTTCTAGAGAGACTTAGCCAGAAGGCAAACGCGCTCTACTAAGAATTCTTAGAACTTTCTCGCGAAGTAAGTTGAACCTTCCTTTAATACTACTTTTAACTCATTTGCATTCAAAGCGATTCTAAAAACTCCTTATGGTAGTGAGTTGTAAATGGAAACAAGAATTGATATGAAAAGATATCCAAATTAAAATAACTCTTATAAAATTAAAATATAACTTGCACGGTGTTAAGCGAAAGTTTGCTCGTGGCGACATCTATGTGTCGAACCGGAAGTGCGATGCGAGCGAGCGAGTGGCCTTGGGATAAGAACTTGAGTTCGTTTCATGGGAGTGAAATACTCTACCTCATCACAAAAGAACTCTTCAGTTACCAATTCAAGTAATTCAGCTGTTTCGAATTTGCAGCCGATGGCTGATTCCGCGAGCAGCCATACACCCTCCCCCAACATCTGTAGGCTAATGAGGAGATACGATTTGCTTGCCGTGTTTTAAGCCCATGCGATGATGTGGTTGATCGTTGCGTTGGTGAGCTGTGTTCAGCTCCGTTCATTGGGAGGCACTACTTGAGCCCGTTAAACAACTGTGGAGCGAGGTGCCGTGGATGGTGCGAGTGACAGTTGGCCAGTTTTTGTACATCTGGGTGGGTGGAGGAGATGCTAGTTCTGTCACGTTCGAAAGGACACCACTGTGTCGGCGGCGGGTTAAAGTGATTTATGAATCCCTGTCTCTAGGCTTTCGGTGTTTTAAGGGAGGGCTTGTTGCAGCAACATCTATGGGTCAGAAAATGCAGAAGTACGATGCGAAAGATTGCGGGGTCTTGCGGACAGAACTTGAGTCCGTTTCATGGGAGTGAAACACTCTACTTCGTGATAAAAGAGCTCTTCGGCGCGAAATCAAGTTAATTCAATTCTTCCGAATAAGCGAGCGTTGGTTGGCCACGCGAGCTGCCATACAGGTTAGTAGTATTTTTCTCTTAATTAAAACACAATTTTTCTTCTTTCGTGTGTTTTTTAACTGTCTTCAGCTTAACCATAATTTTGTATTAATCGTAGACGTTGTCCGCAGTATCACCTCTGTAAAATTGTGAGAAAGATAAAAGTTATTAAGAAATGGGTGTGTTATTTTCAAACTTTTAGTTTGCTGTACTAATAAGGCATGAAGTTATGATGTAAATCAAAGATATTTTCCAGCAAGATTGGCAATAGTGATAAAATTTAAAACTTTTTCGATCTGTGAGATTAAAATCATCTCCCTCAATATCAATAACATTTCTCAGAATGGAAAATTTATCAGACTGAGTTGAGGATTAATGCTATAATAACATACCGCAAAATATACAGAACCCTCCCAAAAAAGCTGCGAAGTTTAAACTTATGATTTTTTCATTTCCATATTTATTATGATATATCGAACTTCATTATAGGCATTCATTTTAAAATTTTCGTTTTTTTCGTGTTTGCTCGGAACTAAATAAATCAGAGGTTAAAACAAAAGTTTTAACTGCCTGTTCTTCTCCCTTCCCTGTGTGAGATTTCGGTTACTTTAATCCATTTCGTGCTTTATCAGCAAATATTTTATAAAAGTAGTTTTACAAAATTGATACAATCATTTAATAAGTTAGCCAAAGATTAAAATATCTTTACACTTTCTCCTTCAGTGGAATTCTGTCGATTATTCCTTTTTTAAAGGATTACTGATGTTATATTAATCAATAGATTTTCCTTTCGGCAAATGTCCAATTTTTGCACTTTTTCGGCTTCTTTCGACAAAAACCTGTAAAATAAATTCGAAAAATAGAAATCTTAGTGAAAATGCTACATAAAACTAACAAAAATACTGATTTAAATGCTGTAAACTGTCGAACTTTATTTTGATAAATTTTTAAACGTTAAAAACGCATGCATATATTTTATCGGCAAACCATCAAAGAAAGTTAATGTTTGACTGTTTTTTATTTCGGTAGAAAGTAGAATCAAATTAGGATACGAAATAAATTTCAGAGTTTATTTTATTCATTTATAACTTGTAACTTTTCATATTTTCGATACATTTATTCAGAGGAAAACATATTTTATGTGTAATAACCCAAATTAAGTAAAATTTTAAGTACGAATATTTAACTACTGTGTAAACGTTCACATTTTTCTGTACGCGTAGTTACGTAATTTTTCCTTTACTTGTAAAGTTTCAACAATTGTTATAGTTTTCCTATTTAATTTTAAAATTTCTGTTTTTACAGTTTTTAAAAACTTTCACTTTTTGAATCAGATAATTACTAATTTAATCATGACGTGAATAAAAGTCTTTTCTTTTTCAACAGTCATAAATACCTTTTTAGTAAATGAGTAGAGGCTATGATATATTAAAAACCTTTGGCATCTAGCCATCAAATCCTTGAGAGCATTGTGTAAATCGATCCATTTATTTTCATGGCCTGAATATTACCAGTCATCACATTAAATGGATCCATTTCGAATCATTCTCAACATGTTCAAGTTCTTTCTTTTCCTACAATTAGTATAACAGTTAATGGCGAGTACATAAAATGTAACTTCATGTTTTGAAAGAGACTTCCTTAATTGCACTAAATTCTATGCATTATATATTTTATTGTCTAAAGTTATTGGATAATTTGGAGTTTAGACACCTTTTTAAATCCTTAAAGAAAAGCTTGACGAAATTTAGAACTAGGACAGTGTAAATAATACCCTGAATTCAAACTTTCCGTAAAAAAATAATGAAAAGAAATAATTATATACTAATAATTATTATGAGATTATAATGCATTAATGATATTAAAAAAACCTAACAAAATCTTGTAAAATTGCATAAATATTTAAAAGCGTTAGTATGAAAAATTAGCCAAAAGTCCGTTAATAAAAATTAGCTTATCTTTTGGATGGTCATTTGCTTAAGTCTGTAGTTAAGTTTTTCGTTGCATTTGTTCAAACACTTTGCTCATTTTTTAGTATTAGTATTTAAAAATACACTCTATAACAAAAAAAAAAAAAAAAAAAAAAAAAATTGACGTACCAATAAGGAGTTATTCGATGGAGACAAAAATTGGTGGATAAGAAGATTATGTATAGAATAAAAAATTATCAAAATTTCAGAACAATTGAAGGATTCATTTCAGAGTTTACATAGTTAACGAGCTAAATAAGGTATTAGACCCACCTCTAGCGTGGATACAAGCTGGCCACAAGACGTGGCATAAAGGCTCCCGAATGGTCTCCTGCGGATGGCTTCCTGCGCAAATGTTACTCCAATTGTCGGGCTAGGTCATCAACACTCCCTGGTAGATGCAGTCGCCTTCCCATCATATCCCAGACATGTTCGTTGGGAGAGAGATATGGCGATCTGCCTGGCCAAGGAAGTGTTTGACAAACTGTAAGACAGTTCATAGCAACATTTGCCGTATGTGGTCTGGCATTATCTTACAGAAAAAATAAGGCTAGGGTACTACAAACGGAATGGTAGCAAAACAAGTTTTAGAATGTCACCGACGTACCGCTGTGCTGTAAGTGTGCCTCTGATGACGATCAAAGGGGTCCGGCTATCAAGGAAAATGACATCCCGCACCAGAACTACTGGTTGAGGGCCTGTGTGATGTGCAGTAGTGAAAGCAAGATCGGCACGCTGCTCTGGGCGTCTCCAGACACGTCTTCGATGATCGTCACGACACTGCTGGAAGCGGAATTCGCCGTTAAAGACTATATGTCCTTAGTCCGCATTATTCCAACCTGATCGAGCCAAGCACCACTGTAATCTGGCTCGACAGCGTGTAGGCATGAGTGGCAGGGGGCGTAACGGTCGGTACGAGCGTAGATTTCGCTCTCTCAGCCGTCTGTCAATGGCCATTGTGGACACTCGTGTGCGGGTCGCACGTCTGATGGTTGATAGCGATGAATCAGGCACTATGACAGCTTATCTGACAATTATTCTGTCCTCCCGATCTGTTGTTTCCCTAGGTCGACCGCTACCAGCATCGCTGAATCTGCTGAAATCTGCCATTGTCCACCCATTCTTCCCAGCATCTTCTAATCGCTGCATCGCTTCAACTCATATAACGAGTGATTCTCCGATTTGCCCAACCTGCCTCTTTCAATCCAATGATACGACCGTTTTCAAACTCTGACAATTGCTTGTAATGAGCTCAAATCCTGCGGCAAGACATTTTTTCAGTCTGAAAGGTATTCTAAATCGCAATGCAGCAGAAATTTTTAACAACAGTTATATACATCTGCTGGATGCGCAGTTCTGATGCGCTGAAGATCGCACTATTCATTCATTGGGCACCGAATTTTAATCATTTGCATATTTGATCAAACCATTTATACATACAAAATTTCAAAGAATCGGATGATTCCTTCTTGGTTTGTCTTTTTTTATTTATTTATTTGTTTATTTACAAACTCAATGCTTTAAAAGCGAGAAATGGCAACGTTATATAGAAAAAAAAATACTTTTATCTCCAGCTCGCGAGACTGTGTATATCGGAAATTCTAAAGATATGCTTAATTTAACATTATTTTGCGATATATTGCTCTTGAAACTGAAATTTGTTTATGGTTTAAGTGCAAAGAACATGATATTTAATAAATAAAGGTTAACACTCAAAACGTTAAAAAAAAACGCCCCTTTGGAGTAATTTAAAATCTGAAAAATTTCAAATATATATTTTTTTTTTTTTTTTTTAAATAGAGTGTATATAAGGATCTAATTATTATTGTTTCTCATACTGTTAGAAATCAGCAAAAAATTCTTATTATAAACAGTTGAAAAAATTTAAGTTATAGGAGTTAGAAAGAAAGAACAACTTAGGTTATCGCATATTTTGAATAAATTTTATCGCTTTCTAAAGCTATCTGATATAGGTCCTTATTCTTCAAGAAGGAAAATAAAATTTACGAGTAACCTTTCACTATTTGAAAGTTTTGTGCAATCGTAAATTGTAGATTAAGGTAGATGGATGTAAACGTTATTTAAAGTTTGAACTAAAAGCGATGAGAAGGATGAACTAAAAGACCTTACTTAAAGTCTAATACAAGTGGAGAAGTCGGAATGAAATTCAGTATCAAAGGGAATATTGTAAAAATACACTGTTTGACAACTGCTAAGGAACCACCGATTTATGCAAAGTAACGTTCCTAACAGCCAAACAATAACAGTAAAATCAAGTGCAGATGGCGTGGTAGAGCAAGACCCATTATCTGTATGAAAGGCACAAGCTCTTCATTCATTCCCACCTTAGACCTCTAATTACTAGCGATTGAGACTATCAAATGTCATGCGTCCACTGAACATCAGTTCACTGGGAGACGAACCGTAGCGCCTCGGGCGATATCCCGGTCATACTTGTTCGGTTCGGTGCTCTTCATTCATTCGAAAATTCATGCTGTTAGGTATTTGACCAGAAGAGCGCCGTACGCTGTTTACCTTATTTCTGTGAAATTCAGTGGGGTGTTGCAATAATTAAATACAAAATATCTACAAGACATCATTATAGCGATTGCGATCGTGGACGAGCAGTTGGATGGCTGGAAGCAGGTCAAAGTGTAACTGTCAAAGTGTCTCATTGCAGTCATTGTGGCCACAGCAATGGGAATGTCAAAAACTGTCATTTCGCGATTAAAAAAGGCCGCTGAGGGGAAAATACTATGAGAAAGCATGCCGGATGTCGTGGTAGAAACACCACACCTCAAGAGGATCGATATATATCCTTAGTGGCGAAAAGGAACAGAAAATGTCACTCCAAGTCAGATAGCTGCAGACCCTGTAACCAGTACATATGTTTCTATCAGAACCATCTCATGGCGATTAAATGCAGTTAGTCTGTATGCAAGGAAGCTTGTTCGATGCATCATGCTTCAACCACGCCATCGTCGAGAAAGACTACGTTGGTGTAAGAAACATATTGTTTGTGGCCACCAACAGTGGTCCAGAATGGGGTTCTCCGACGAATCCCGTTTCACTGTAACTAGTGGTTCTGGCCACCAGTTTGTGTGGAGAGAGAGGGAAACACGTGTTTCTCATCCCTGTGACCATCAGAGCTAGATCAAGGGTGGGAACTCGTTCTGCCCAACAGTATGTCCATGAACGTGATCGGTATGGCCCAGACATGCTGGTGTGGGCAGGCATCATGACAATGGCAGAACACGGCTTCACATCGTTGAGCGAGGTACTGTAAAATCGCAGCGGGGTGCGGTATGTCCACACTTCCTGTTTATGGACGACAGTGCGAGGCCATACGGAAGCGCTGAGGTATCGAGCATACTAGAGAGTGAAGATATTGTCCGTGTGCAATGACCTGCTTACTTCTCAAACCTAAATCCTATAGAGCATGCTTGGGATGCCCTTGGTAGACGTGTTTCGCGAAGAGCACTCCCTCCCCGAAACGTTCAAGGGCTGAAAACCGCCTTGAGAGAGGAGTGGAACAATATTTGTCGATAGTTTCAGTCGAAAGCATGAATAGCAGGTGCAAAATGTCCATTAGTGTCCGAGATATTCACACATCTTACTGAGGTACACATATCTGTTCCATTCCTGGGAGAAGACCCATTTTTCATGGATGTTTGGAAATCGTCGAAGGAGCATCTATTTTGTTTTTAATTTTCTCATTTTCGGCTATATCTGTACCATTTTGTTTTAATAGTATATGCACGCTGTCTCTACTAAATATGTATTTAATTTCATTTCTTCGATCAGTGCCTGTTATTAATTATTCCGAAAAATATAATTATCCTTAGCAATTGTTAAGCAGCGTATAATCGTAGCTGAAGAGAGAGAGGTGTGGAGTTAACTTACCATGAGACTTCTACTCATGAAGTAGGGCCTTGTGATTCCGTCATTCATTTGACAATCCTCGCAGAAACACAGCAGCAGTGTGTCGATAGCCATCTGAAGAGAACGGAAAGAAGAAGAGGAAGAAAAAGGTTATCTTGTAATTATAATGTTAGAGAATTGTGGCCATAATAGTTACATATAGATTATTGATAAACAATAAAGTTTTATAGAGACACTCATGGATTTCATGCCATATTATAGCTTCAAATTCAAAGTATAAACGATAGTTTTCTGTGAAATAAGAGAATTTGGACATTAATTTCTTGTTAAAGCGGTCATCTCCCTTAATTACCAAAAATAGCAAACTTAACTACTACTGCTATACAAAATGCAAATTTCAGATGTCACTAAAGGCTTATGCGGTGACAGCTTCAATAACAAAGTGCTGATTTTGCATATTGTGAGTAAATTTTTATGAGAACAAAATTGTAAATGATGCATGAGCTTGCAAAATTTGGTAACAAAAGTAGTCATTATTTGACAAATCTTACATAGTATATTTTTTTATTTATCATCGACATTTTCACAGTTATTATTTTAAACTAAATATGACTGTTTTGAAAGGCTACCGCTTTGGATTGCTCTTAGGCGCTTTTAACTCCCAAGACAATTGGTAATAAAATTAACTTACTTCGTATACAGACAGAAAACAGTGACAGCACAGAAAGGCGAAAAGGCAAGACAGAGCCACAGGTACCCAGATGTAATGCAGGCCGTCCACATTCTGAAGGTAAAGAATAAATAAATATCATTTTCCATGCATACTAATTCAAAAAGTATTTATTCAAAGAATTTGTATCCATTTTATATCTTATTGCATTGGTAGAATCTGCATAAAGTAATATGCAGAGCAATTCATGGAGTGTATCAATGATTATGAACGTCAGATACCTTCTAAAATCTCATTCAGGTCTGTACAAACAATTTTTTAACTGTTTTACTATTGCCGGTTTGTTTGTTTCGGTAAGAAACGTTTTACAATGGCGTTCGTGTCGAATCTTCTATACCAGGGGTGAGAAACATTTCTTTTATGACGGGCTAACTAAACATTTGAAACTTTTGTGCGGGCCAGTTGTAAAAAACGTATTAGAATATTAACACTAGATGATATAAACACAAATTATCTCTTTATTAACAAAACAACAACCTTATAAAAATCACCAAATAAACATATAATAGAAATATTATAAAACACAACAAAGGATGATTAATATAGGAAAACGTCTTAAAGAGTAGTTTGGCACTGCTTCTTTGCAACCTTCCAGTCAAACACTCGATATGTTCCATAGGATTCAACCAGGCTGATGGTGGAGATATTATGTTTTGGGAGACGTTCGCATGAGCATCCCTGGTATTATTGGCTGTTCTAAAATTATTCATAACAGCTGCAGATTATACGAACATCACTGCTGGTTAGTTGCACTATTTCTCACCATTTTTCTTTCGCGCGCGATCCAAATGGACTCTTACGGCAGCGAAACACCCTTTGTCACAAGAACGAAACTGTGCTGGCTTGAGAAATATGCTTTGAACTCTATTTGAGGTCCTGGTCTTCTAAATCTGCGGATATAAATCCTATTCAGCATATGCTGGGTATCATGGAGAGCTAGTTCAAAGCTTACCAACTACCTCTCCTTAATCTGGAAGAAGTGTGTGACTTTTCATAAAAATTTGGTATCAATTTTCTTTCTGACATTTATGAAGATCTTATAAAATTCAAGAGCCTACAAGCGGCCGAGCGATAAAGTCGCTGAACACTGGTAATTCGGTCCGGAGTTCGAATCCTGGCAAACGGGCTAGCTGCATGGGCGTTTTGATGGCTTTCTCCATGAGTAACATGTACATGATCCAATTTTCCTTAGAAAGTTCTCCATGAAAGCATCCCTTTCTTAGGCAGATAACGGTCGAGTGCTTTGCCTTAGTTAAATAAATAAAAAATAAAAACTTACAACATTCATGTCATTAAGGGTTGCAGCTGTTTTGCATATCAAACCTGAGGTGTGGTGGTGTTGGTGGTGTATTTAATTATGGCAAAGCACACTAGGGTTATCTGCCTAAGGGGAGGGATGCCTTCGTGGAGGACTTTCTAAGGAAAACTGGCTCGTATACACGTTACACATGGGGAAAACCATGAAAACACCCATGCAGTCAGCCCGTTCGCGGGATTCGAACCTCGGACCGAACTACCAGCGTTCAGCGACTTTACCGCTCGGCCACTGATGGGCCTAGAAAACCTAATGAAACACGTTATTAGGAGAGTGATTAAAATGTTTTGATTGGTCAATTAAAATAGGTAACACTTCATGCAGCACGAGTTCAAAACAGTAACAGACCTTAAGGATTTCGAGTGCGATGAAAGCAATGGCGACAGTGACTCCTACTTTGCCTACAAAGAGGATGAAGTCTCCAATACTGTCGACAGCAGCGACTCTCATTGCATTTGACGTCAGGCTTCCAAAAGCACGTCGAGCGCTAGCACAGAAAGAATCTCCGTATATAGCTGGAAGAAAAACGAAATGCTACATAGAATAATTTCTAAATAAATATTTCAAATTATAAAATTAGATAAAGAAAGGTATGTACAAGAAACATTCACAAAATTAATGGAATGTACTTATGAATGGGATAGCGATCTAGATTAAACTAAGATAACTAAAGTTTATGTAGGTAGAAATCTAATTTTAATGTTCTAGATTAATGTAAGATACTTGCAGGTTAAGTGAGTGGCGCTGCATTTAAAAAATTCCTTAAAAGATAATTTTATGCGGATTCTACTAAAATAATTTTACGGATGTGTAAATGCTAATTTTAACTTTACGTACATTCATAATTCATTTTGTGTGTAACAACAAGTTGAGAGTAATTATATATCTTCTCTAAATCAGAATCTGAGATGAGAAGATTTGACATTCTTTTATTTTCAGAAGCATGAAAATATACAGTCACAAAGGCACACTATCACAGCTTAACTTAATTTCTATTGTCTTGGGGATTCATTTCTAAATTTAGAAGTGCTGGAACCCTATGAAAGGTCTTCATAAGCAGTGGACAGAATACATAAATAAAATAATAATACATAAACAAATAGAATGTAAGTAAAGTTAAATAGAATTTTAAACGCTGAATCTCAGTAAATAAATTAATGACAAAGAGGTCATAAATAAATCAAAATGTAATAAGTTAAATAAAATAATAAAACACATGAAAAATTCGTAAATTAATAATCAGTTTTAAGATATATTATTAAAATCAAATGAAATAATAAAGCAAATATCAGAACAGTAAATTGACTGTAACAAAATATGATACTGAGGATAAAAGAAAGATCAGTATTTTAAACAATAGTTCTTCACGGTCAGACAAAATTTCAAAGCAAGCCAAACAACAATGGAAAATTTTGATTTCCAATCGATTCTTAACTACTTCATAGTTAAATGAGTAGAGGCCAAACATTCTTGATAATATGAGTATTTTTATACAGCCTATAAAAATCTCGCTTCCTGAAAGAATCGCATTTTGACAATGAGGAATTTTTTTCTTTATTTAATCATGTTTTCCCGCTTATTTTCTCTTCCCATGGAAGTGATTTTAATATCAAAGGCTAAGTTAAATGCTGCAATAATGTTTTATTAATATTGCTATCAAAACTAAAAGAAAATACTCGAACTCATCTTATTTCCGGCTTTTGTGCATTCTGGCTACAATTTAGTCTCAAAACGATCTTAAAAGCCGAATTGAAATATATATAAAATGCAGAATAGAGTTTTAATTTCAAAATTAAATAAAGCATGTTACCTCTATGGTTTTCAAAACATTCTAAGGTTTTACATAAATAATTTAGCAGCCCTCAGGCTTCTACAGATCAAAACAGTAAATTTTTGAAAAAAAAAAGTTATAAAAATACGGAATTAAAATGTAATTACCTATCATAATGTAAGCATTCTTACTCAGGAACTTCAAGAAATTTTCAAAGCAAGCCAAACAACATTGGAAAATTTTCCAAAAAATTTCACATCTTTGATTTTGGTTATTGAGGCTAGGAAATGAAATAAAATATTTTTAGAATGCGAGTAATCACAAGAACACACACACACACACACACACATATATATATATAAACAACTTTTGAAAGAAATTTAAGACAGAAAGATAAACTCTTTTAAACGTTAAACTAAGTCGTATTAAGAGAACAGAAGCACAACACAAGCTTTAGGAACTAAACCTATGAAGCTATTCTAAGATTTTTACATAGTTCAGGTACGAGATATATAGACTTTATCCTTGTTAACATTTCTTATTTAAGAAAGAATTTTTTTAAATTAATACCTCTATGACAAAAGTAAGTTCTCCTCCTCTTCTTATTCAAATATAGCTTTTATAAATAAATCGTTCATTATTTCTGCATTCTTAATAATATCAATAAAAATCTAAGACTTTATCTATTACACTAAAACGTTAAAATTGATTCCGGTAACTTCTGTCATTCAGCCGAATAATAATATAATTACCTCAAAAGTCAAATAATTTTATTTTGTAAGATTTATTTCTCTTTTTTATCATAAAAATGTAACTAAATCTACTTAATCCTTGCGAATTCTCATACAGGATTAAAGATAAGTACAACCTGTGGAAGGGTGTAAAAGATCCTTTTAATTGAACACAATATAATTAACGGGCGGTACGGGCTTACAAACACCGATCACTTGGGGTGAAAACTTAAAAGATAATGTAACTCTATATTTAAAGATAAAGAATAATGCGAGACTACACAATTCAATTTAAGCTAACAGGTTGACTCTGAAACTTACAACGGTAGAATAACTCGGTGGGAAGAATGCGTAGCCGATATTAGGGTTAACAGCTCATAGAAAATAGCAAAATCACGCTCTGTCTAAACTTTTCGCTTCAACAGTTTAAATACTCTCGCTCACCCTAACTCATTCACATTCTGGCGAGAAAACGCGAGGGAATAAGAGGAAGCAGGAAAGGCTGACAAATTAAAATTATTATTGGTAAAAATAAATAAAACTCAACAATTTTTAAATGGTAAATAATTGTGTTATTATATAAATTAACTAGTTACTGTGATTTCGGTCTTTAACTTCTCCTTTCCGTATTTCTCACCAGAAAGAAAATGAGTTAGCCAGTATTTAAACCGAGGTTTCTTTGATTTTGAGACAAAGCGTGTTTCTGGCTGCTCGCGCACGATAAATGTCAGTTTCCTGCCACCTCTGATGTAACTATTCGGCTTTGCGTTCTATCGCTGCCGACAATTTGGTTTTAACGCTCCAGTAGAGTTACTGAGCCAACTTTTATATTTAATTGTGCAAACGTTGACGACTGTTCCACGTTTGACTTAAACGTGTCTGTTCTATTTAGTTGCATCACCACGAGTAGCGGTTAATATTGCACAAGATAGGGCACTTATTTTCTAAATTCTATTTAAATAAAAAGATTATTTAAACCTTCTAGCGACTTTGTAGTTATTCCAGACATAGAGATATTTCACTTTACGTTTGTTAATTGGGGTTAAAAACATTACCAGAACAAGTAAAAATCTACAAAATATATAGATCATTACTTCTTAAAAACGTTTAAGGTTCTACTGTATCCAGAAGCTTGTGTCAAATTCTTGCAGATTCTACTAGACTGATAGCGAATTATAGCATAGTGTGAAATAAATTAAAAAGGTTAAAATAATCTCTTTTATTTAACTCTTAAATGAACAAAAAGGCACGGCTTGTGCGAAAGAACGAACCTTCGCGACTTTCGGGTATTAAAATTAACATAACAGAAAGTTAAATTCAACGTAGCTAACGTAGTGTGCGATTACACATAAAATAGACTACTCAAGCCGGCTCAGATAGTTAACGGCGCGTATTTTAAAACTCTGGCTAGAAAGACTCTATAGCCGGAATACAACTTAGGCTAGCGATAGTAAATAACAGAAAGACTCTGCTGCCAGAAGATCTAAACTAAGTATTCAAACCTTAGTTTATAGGCAAAACAACTAATATGCATTCTTGGGGGGGGGGAGGACTACAGAAAAGAGAAGTTGGTAAAAGTTTAAATCATAATAATTGGTTAGATAACATAAAATACTTTATAAAGTTAAATACAATGATAAATATATACAGCAATAAGTATTAAAATTAAAAAATATCAAGTAGTGTTTGATGGCATTTTTCATACATATTCAAGGAAGTATAAAGAGGTGTTTACATAACCTGCTTCACACTTCTGCATTAATATGCATGTACTTTTTTTATTTAAATCGTTTATTCTATGAAATACAGCCTGCCTCCACGCCAAGAAAATTTCGGCTTTTAACTCTTTCCGGCACGCTACCTTTTAAAGTCGGAGTTTTGATTAAAAAAAGAAAAAAAAAAAAAAGGTAGGCAGTCTAATTAGGCCTAGAGGAATACACAAGTAAAATTTTATGAAGATAGCAATTATCGTTTTAATTCTGTGGGTGTGCCCAAAGTGCCCAAAGTTGACACACTGATTGAATAGAGCTTCGAAAAGAGCGCTGAAGCGAGCATTGTTGTCAATGAACTGACCGATGAAATGCGGAGAAACAAAGAATACAGACTCTCAGTTGTCCTAGATTATCGGTCGGTCTATTGGTCCGGTAGGGTTCGCCGTTTGATTTTAGGCAAGATTTCAAGGTAAAAATTTAAAACTAATATAGAATAAGGAGATTAGCATACAACAATAACCAAAAAAATAACAAAAATTTCTTTTCAAACAATTCCTTTTATACCCTAAAAAAATCTGGAAGATTTCTTTAAAAATGAGGGTCTTAAAAAACTAAACATGGCTAAAATATATGGACTGGTTTGTGTTGAGCTGCCATCTACTATAAATAAAGAAGGTTCAGAGTAACCTATAGTAACCTATAAATCCTTTTTCATTCAATTTTTCTGTGCGTACAAAAGGAAATTTTTCGGTGTATCTAGATAGGACACACTGTGCCGCAGAGGGTTAAGTAAGTTACTTGCGATAATACAATAATTTTATATAATTTCAATTTTCAAGTTGGGTACCTAATTTTATCAAATATCCTTAATATTTGTATCAATGCATTTTACATAGTTTCTTGATAGAACTACAGCACAATAAAATTTACTAGTTATTTAGGTCTTTTTAAATTCCGATTCTGTCTTTTTAATGTTCTGTTTTAAATGTCATTTTAATTTTTTTAATTTCCAACGAAAGAAAACATTTTTGCCCAAAGGGACGTTAGCCCAGAAGAAGTATTATTCTCGAAACAGCATTTAGCGTCAAATCGCTAAAAGCGTTGAATCACATTTCAAACTGTTGCCACAAATATTATCCCAATGCGTTATATTTAAAGAAAATAAATAATGAAGAATCTGCATGACTGTATGTATGTTTCTCACATTTTGAAAAAAAAAAAAAAAGACCAGCGGTACTTAGAGCCATCCAATTTTGAATAACGTAGTCTTCACCCGAACACGGGTTCCTAGAAGCCCGAATTTTGAATTTCCAACTTGATTTATTATCTATTTCGTATTTTGTAAAACTTTAACGAATTTTTTATTAAAAATCTCAACGATTTCAACGCGAGCAGTGGCAACACTGTACGGAATAAAACATTTTTATCTCCAGCGAAGTGGGACTGTGTATCCGAAATTCTAAAGGCATGTTGTTTGTTTTTAAATATTTTTAGCCTAAAAGGGCCTTAGTCCAAATTCTCTCGAAACGTATATGTACATGTAGATGAAAACAAAACTCCCCTTTGGGCATAACATAAAATCTGAAAGCTTTCAGTTTTTTTTTTATTTATATCTAACTAGATCTACTTAATCCTATACTATATTTAACTACATCTACTTAATCCTTGCGAATTCTTCATCTCCGTTACTCATAAATAGCTTGAAAAAAAAAGAGACGAATTTGTGGCTAAGAGCAAAACGATCTCGGCTACCAACTCGATTCGTATTTAAGCTGTTTTTATTCTATCTTGTTACTGTTATCATTAAGTTGGATATAATTCTGTTAAAAAGATAGTTCTGTCTTAAAACACGAATGCTGTATTTTTTAATTCTAAGATAACATCAATTATAAGGAAGTATCCCTTCATTTCTCTATGACTAGCAGGCAAATAATTTAGATCAAGGAGATCGAAAGATGAAATAAAATACTAACTATGCCTAGTAGTATTTATCCCTTCCTCCTGCATCAATATCAAAATCAGATTTTTTTTAATCCAAAAATGTTTCCATCTCAATTAGTATCGCAATCTTCTCAGTTGTTTTTATTTTTATTGGGTAGTTCGGAAAGTAATTTTCTTTTCTTACAGCAGAAGGCTTAATGGTATTTTTTTCACAAACAACTTTACACTTAATCCAGGTAATTGTTATATGTTTTGACAAGACTTGTTTGTGAAAAAGTTCGATAGACTTGTTTGTGTTTCGAGAGACTTGTTAGCAAGACTTGTTTGTGAAAAAGTTCGATTGATTCTACGCAGTAGGTTTTGGCCGGTACCCTTTCTTATATGGAAAGTGAAAAGCAGCATTTCCGGTATATTTTACGTTTTTACTATCGAAAAGCTGAAAATGCTGTTCAAGCAAGAAGAAAATCCGATGTGTATGGAGAAGATGTACTGACAGAGCGCCGGCGTCAAAACTGGTTTGCAAAATTTCGATCTGGCAATTTTGATCTTGAAGATGTACCACGTTCTGGAAAGCCAACTGAAGCTGATGAAGGCACATTAAAGGCATTAATTGAGGAAAATCGGCAGGAATAACAACTCATGAGATCGCTGAGAGATTAAATTTATCGAATTCAGCCATTCATGGTCATTTGAAACGCTTACGTTTAATCTTAAAGCTCGACATATGAGTTCCTCGTGTCCTTAAAGCTCCACGTCAGCTCTCCATCGTCAAAATTTCCAGATCGAAATTTTGCAAACCAATTTTGGCACTGGCATTCTGTCAATAGATCTTCTCTATATACATCGGATATTTTTTTTCTCGCTTGAACAGCGTTTTTACTTTTTGGAAAGTAAAATATGCCTAAAATGCTGCTTTGCACTTTCCATATTTGAAAGGGCACCGACCCAAAACTACTTCACAGAATCAATTGAGGGGTTTTCACAAACAAGCCTTACTATATCAGTTGTCAAAATATATAACGATTATGCTGCTTAAGGGTGAAGATGGCTATGAAAAAATACAATTAAACCCTCTATTGGGAAAAACGAAATTATTTTTCAAGCAACCCAATATTAAACCCTGATATATCGCATCCTGAACAACAGATAGCTCTGTTAACTATATGTTTTTTTAAGATAAACAAAGGAAAAATAATGTAAGATTAAATGATTGGCTGCCATATCTAAATCATGGGGAAATTTGAAAACGAATGTCGCGATTATAAGACACATACCTTTTAAAGCGGTTTATATAGATTACAAAATGAATCCGAAAGCAGATAATATCGGAAGTATTATTTTATACGATAATTTTAACCAGTTACGAATTTACTTTTTAGCACAATATTTTGCGTAAAGCATTCTTTAAATCTTACGGTTTAGTTATGAATGTCTTTTTATTTAATAAAATGTGTCTATTTATGTGTTTTTAATTCATGTACTCCAAGCAAAACGTTTTTGTAATAATTTTAATGCATAATATCCAGAACAAGTTTATATTTTACAACGGCAGAATAATCTCAGTTGTCTTAGTCAAGTAGTTAAGGAAGCTTGTGACAGGTACTTTTGCATGTTATTATTAAAAATTAAGCTTAATTTAAGTACTGTATTCATATATTCTCTCAGATCATGAGCTTTTCCACATTACGAGCACTCGAAAGAGGGTTCATTGATTAACTGTAATACTAAAAGATAGATTGGCAAAGTTTTTTTAACGTTGCCATCGATAGCTTAATCAATCTCATTTGTGTCGCATATTCTAGGTTAAGTTGTTACTCAGCTGGAATGAATAAATAAAATGTTCCTTTTTAATCCGTCTGCGTACGCCAGACGATTTTCTTCAGGGTGGTAAGTGGCAACAGGCAAAAAAATAAATGTTTTTCTAGATGAAGTTAGTGTTATGCATGCATACTTGCCAGAACAATTCAGTAGCACAGTTATAAGCTAAATTTTATACTTCGAAATTCTATTTTTTATTGCGTCTGACCTTATTCGTTTGGAAAGTTATTTTGAAAAAAAAACCTGCTTCGATTTTATTTCGAGAATTCCAATATATCTCAGCACGCATTAACAAACATACGTTTTGAACAGAACTATCAAGTATGGTAAATCATTTTACTCTGATTGACAAGTCATTTTAGAAATATACATTCTATTACACAGAAATATAAAAATAGTTTAATACTGTATTTCAAAGAAATAAAAATTAATACTATTTTTCCAGCAGTCGAAATAGGATTCGGATGAGTTTCATGATTGCAATGATGAGCGATCCGAAGGCAACAGAACCCAGGTGGAAACATACAAGAATTCGGAAGCTCTTGCATATGGGATTCCTGAGTTTACTTTTGTCCCTGGAATGTAAATCGCATATATTAAATTTAAGCAGAGGCTTATTTATAGATAATGAGATGAAGTTTATAAAGTTTTTAAAATTTAAATTACAAAATTGGAATGATTTAAGAAGCAAAGTAAAAACCTGCAATGAAATGCCTTTACCAATTGTTAAATGCAAATAGCAGTATTCAGTAACTTATTGTTAATGCAGTGACGTCTCATATAACTAGCGGTTTGTGCAACGAATGTTTCCCATGATGAATGTAGTTCCAGCTGAAAAAATGTTTCGTACAAAGAACTCGGTTCGATATTATGAAACGCACTGTATACCATTACATTATCAACATGTTACATTATCACACATTATTTAATGCATATGGGAAAAGCAACATTAACCGCATGAAATATTTAACACGTTTCTACAATTTGTTATTTACATACAGTAAAAGTTATTAAAGAAAAATAAAGCAAGAATAATCATCACATCAGACTGCAAGTCGAAAGCGAACGACGACGACGAACGCTGACATGGAATAATGGGACAATTCTTCTTCTTTTACCACATTTACTGCACGTAAATAAATCGTAGGTTACTAGTTATGAGGTTATGTTTACTCTGTATAGACGTAGGTTCTTTTGAAGCAGGAGACATGAAAAATGAGCAATGCCTTCACCGGGACTCGAACCTGGATCTCTCGAATACGCGCCGAGTGTGATAGCCATTACACCACGAAGTCATGCAGAAAAGAGGAAGAAATTACCGTATAGCTCTAATACTGGAAATTTAGTTACAAAACCCTAACAGACATGTGACGAGTTATCGCTGCGATAGAAGTTCAATGTCTTTCGAAGGTTTTTAAAGTAACTTTTTAATTTAAGCAGAACTTTGAACATAATGGCACCATTTTGTGTTACAAATAGTAACAACTTTTGGTGATGCAAATAAATGAAAACAATAAGTAATTTTAATCCTTGCTCAGTAGTCAAAAACTACGCAATTAAATAATAATAATAAGCTATACGCTGGTATAGCTTATTTAATTGCGTAGTTTTTGTATTTACAATACGCCAATAAAATTTTTGTAATTGCGTAGTAGCATTAACAATACGCCAAAGAACTAGTCACCACTAATTAGAGGTAGCAGACTCGAAGCGCGTAGCGTGCATGCCAGAAACGCACTCTCTCTCAAGATCCAAAATCCTCAGTTTAAATACACAATCAAACTAATTTGCGTTGTGGTATGTAAGACGGAAAAAAGAAGTTAAATTAAAAAATCCAAATCATAATAACTGGTTAATTTGAAATAAAAACTTACATAATAACTCGATGAGTATTTTATATCATTAATGATGTTTTCCTAAGCATAGGTAATTTTTTTTACTTCGTATTGTTACGAAATGGCCAGCTGCAGGCAGATAGATTCCCCGCAAAGCTCGCTTAGGATTTCCAAAAAGTGGTAAGGAAAAGCAGGGTTTCCAGATTGGGCGAGAAATCAACCATTTGGCGACAGAATTGGCGATATCCCATAGACAGAGCGAGAACATTCTAGAAAGAATTCTTACCGTTTTGTCCCAAAATGTTCTCGAAGGCAGGTCAAAAGCTATATAAGCGCTATTCTTTTGTTGAAAGGGGCGTAGCCTGTCATGACCATAAGACCAACTTGTTTGGTTATGCGGGTCGGGCTGCGCCCGCTACTGATACTACTGATACCTTACATACTCTCCCTTTTAAAGGGCGACTAGGGATAAGGAGACCAAATCACCAAATCCTGGTTTTGAAGAATCATCATCCACCACCTTTTTGTTCGGGCGGCACTGTAGTCTCATTAAGTTATTTTGAAACAGGAGATGTGAAAAATGTGTAGTGACCCCGCTGAGACTCGAACCTGGACCTCTCGAATACGCTCTGAGTGTGCTACCGTTACACCACGATGGCATGCAGAAAGGGGGAGAAAGTACCTTACAAGTTATTTCATTAAGAAACTTTAAGAAACAGCGTTATATAGAACAAATGTTTTGCATAACGAAAGCCATCCTAGCACAGATTACTTTCTTTATGCAAGACATCCCGGCGAATAATTAAGGCAAGTGTAGTAGGTAATTAGGAGAGATAGGGATACACTCTTCTTAAGCAGAAAAAAGAATTATCTTTAAAAGTTAGTTGCCTCAGAAACAACACAATAATTATGAGATTCAATTCATGCTCATAAGCAAAGGAATTTTTCCCTTACGTGTGAAAATATTTCAATGACATAAGTGAAACTTTTAAAGTTACATTTAGTTTCAACATAACTAGTAAATACAAAAAAATTAATTTTAATTTTTATAAAATAGTAATTTATTATTTATTGCTTTTTCTATCAAAAGATCTCAAGAACATTATGCTCTAAAATAGATAGTTATAAAATAAGAAAATATAGTAACACGCAGCTTCATTGTTCTCTTCTAAATAGTATCTGAAGTCTTTTCTTATTCTCTGAGAATTTATGAATCGAACAGTCAATTATCTTCTCACATTATTTTAATTTATTGAATTCATAGTGTTTTGTGATATTCGTCGAATTAGTAGATTACTGTAATTTCCATAACACAAACTTTAATATACAAAATTATTTACAATTACAGTTACATAGTTTCGTATCGGAAACTAAAAAGATATGCTGTCTTCATGGCTGTCCAGACGATCCGTACTTGAGTGAGAACAACGTTGCCACAAAAGTTCAAAGAAATAAATGCTACGGTGAGCAGCAGTGAGAGAAGAACTTTAAACTTGTAACACATAATTATCAAGGAGTAACGTTATGTCCTCTTACCTTGTAAAGTACCACACTGACACAGCTCCAGCGACGATGAAATTTTGGCATGCTAGAACGAATTGCGATAACCAGAGAAAACCGAAAAAAAGCAGCCATCGCATCACCTGTAATATTCAAAATTATTTTGCTTTTATAAAGATAATTATGATATTTTAATTTCAGCATTATTGGCATCAATTGAATTCATTTACAGCATATCACCAATTATCTGAGAAAATTGAGATAAATAATAGATAATAGATTAAGTAAATAGTTAAAATAATTAGTTAAAACAGTTAAAATAATAGATTTGTTCGGATAGCTAACTATTAAATCTTTAAAGTAATTATTTCAAGTTACATCCAACTTACACTTCACTGTCTTGTCCTTAGCTTAGAATTAAATAAAAAAAAAAATTTCAGACATTTATCTGTATTTCGGTTTCAAGTTTCAAGCAATAAAATATTCGGAAAGATTTAACCAGCTCTTCTTGCAACTTGTGTGTGCAACAGTAGAACAATTTTTTTTTTTAAGGAACAAGCATGAAATTGTAGGCTAGCTATCAGTCTTCTAATGTCATGCTTTCCAATGTAAATACATATGAAAGCTAAATTCAGTAACATTAAGCACAGTACTATGGCAGGTAGAATCTGTGAATTCCTATGGTTGCTATGCCATATACAGTACTATGGCGACTTCTCAAACTTGCCAATACTTAACTTAGATGTTGTTGTTGTTGCTAGTGCTCACTTGTCTATAGTCAGCCCAAGCCCATAAATTCCTCGTGGCAAGCTTACGTCTGTCGTTGGCAACAGCCTTAAGCACCTTACAGGTAACAGTGGGATTTAGCTCAGTTCAGCCTTCAATTTTGATGGAGAGCGCTCCGGAGGGGGGACGGTTCCAAGGACCTACCACCCTTTTCTTCCCTACCACCAACCTCTCAAGAGGATTTCTGGCTCGCCGCATATTTAGAGTGCCCCCATGCCGCACGGACATTATACTTTTAAAAACATCTGTGCCTTCTTCGAGATTCGAACCAGGACCTTCGGCAAGGCAGTCAGCGACGCTAACTATTATACCGGTTGAGCTGCTTAACTTAGATGTTTGTTTGTTCGTTATTTAATCTCACTTAATTTGAATTTCTGGTTGAAATAGTAGAAAGTAAAAGTGCAGAGAATATTTAACATAAGAAAATTACATGTTAGTTAAAATAACTTTTACAAATAAATTATTTCTCGAAGTTTACATCATTTGTTTTAGTCAGAAAATTTTTTTTAATTATATATTTCGACATTACCTTATATTTCCACCAAAATGTGTGGGGAAAAGTGTAATACCCTTATTATAATTCCAGCTAGAATTGTTCCATATTCTTTCCCTAAGTAACTAATAACTGTTAACTTTATAAGGTATTTCTCCCGCCTTCCTAGGGTGAATGCCTTCGTGGTATAGTGATCTGCACACTGGGCCGATATTCCAGAGGTCAACGGTTCGATTACCGGCAAAGGCGATTGCTCATTTTTCATCTTGCCAGCTTTCAAAAATTACCTAATGTCTCTACAGTGGCGCCCAAACTAAAAGGGTGTTAGATGATGTCTCTCCTCACCGAGGATTTGGGCGTGGGTCCCGTAAAAACTCCAGTCGCCCTTTAAAAGGGGGAGTGTATAAGGTATTTCTTTCGCCTTCCTAGCGTGCCTTCGTGGTGTAGTGGTTCTGCACACTGGGCCGGTATTCCAGAGGTCCGTGGTTCGATTCCCGGAAAAGGCGTCGCTCATTTTTCATCTCTCCGGCTTTTCAACATAATCCTCATGTCTTTACAGCTTGTTTTGGAGGAAATGTGTTTTATTTTGCATTTAGATGCCACAGTTAGGAACAATATATTCACAAACTAGAGCACTGTTTGTTCAGGTCAAGACACAAACTGAGCTTGAATAAAAGAAAAGAATTTGATAAACATAAAACAAAGATAATGACTAGTTCTAGAGGTTTAAAATTTAAATTATCGCACGTTAGGGAAAGACGCACTACATCATTACATTTACATCTGATTTCCAGACTTTTCTCAGAATCTTAACTGACATCAAACCAGACTACAAACAACGAATTCTTTATTGGTTTTGATAAGAATTTCCTTTTAATAAGAATTTCCTTATGTAAATTAAAGTACTAAAACAGTAAAAGATAACATTCAACAAAATATTGTTTCTACGTATCAGATAGCATAAATTTGGGAGAAGTATGTTAATTTTCAAAACAGTTCCTGGATTTTTCCTGGATAATTGCAGGATTAAGCGAATCCCTGAATTATATTTCTATCTCTCATTCTTTCACTCAAAATGGAATTTTTAACGCTGTAATTTGATTCAATTAAACATCTATGGTATTCATCCGACAACCGGTTTTTAACATTTCAAAGACGTCAAAAATTAACGAAGACACTATTTGTGGTTGCAAACAAAACTCCGCCACTAACAGGCGTTTAAAATAATATAGGCTGAAATCCAAATTCAAGTGACGTAGCTGAAGACTACACAAAATGGTCTACTTAAGCTAGTTCAAATATTTTCATGGAGCGTTTTAACGCAGGCTAGAGAAAATGGCTAAAGCAGGAATAATCTTTCTCAGAGCTGGCAATAGAAGGTAAACCGCAGATAAGACTGCCAAAAGCTCCAACACTAAAACATTCAAACCCTTCGATTTCAATACTCAAACAACTAATTTGCATTCTGGTGAAAACTGCGGAAAAAAGTTATATTAAAGGTTTAAATCATAAAAAAACAAAAAAACAAAACAAAAAAAAAAAAAAAAAAAAAAGCTGAAATGTTTCAGATTTTAAATTACGTCCAAAGGGGCGTTTTTTAACATTTTGTGTGTTACCTTTCTTTATTAAATATCATGTTCCTCGCACTTAAACCATAAGATCCAGTGCAACAGCAATATCGCAAAATAGTTTTAAAACGAGCATATCTTTAGAATTTCCGATACAGAGACTCACGCGCTGGAGATAAAAATGTTTTTTCTGCACAACGTTGCCATTGCTCGCTTTGAAATCCTTGAGTTGTTAATCAAAAATTCGTCAAAGTTTTAAAAAATAGGAAAATCGATCATAAAACAAATTTCAAATTTCAAATTTGGTCTTCCACATGCTCATATTCGTTGGAGGATTACGTTATTCAAAATTCGATGACTCTATGTACCGTTGTTTTATCACAATACGAGAAATATACATACATTTATGCAGATTTTTCATTATTTAATTTCTTCAAATATAATGCAGGACTCTAACATTTTGTGGCAACAGTTTGAAAAGTGAACCGACATTTATGAGTCCGAAGCAAAATGCCAAAACGAAACTAATAGTCCTTCGGGATTCAAATCCCTTTGGACTAATAACCTTATAAATATAAGACGGTTATCATTTTTATACGAGTAATAACTTGTTTCATCGATTAATAAACATAATTGTTACTATGAGCATATATCTCGTAAAAGCGCAATTATTCTTGAAACACTTCACAGATTCATTACAAACCATCTTTTTTCAATTCGAATATGTTAGATGAACGTTTATATGTTCATAAATATAATAAAAGCTTTTCAAAAGCACCGTTTTATATTTTCGAAAACCGAATAACTGTTTATCACTTCCACGCCACTGCCTATCTGAAGATTTTTAAATGTCAATTAATTACACGATTAGACTGCTAAAACGAATTTAATTCAAAATTTAAAAATGGAGTAAAGTGCATTAAAATGCTGAATAAAAAGCACTCACCTGAAAAAACGTTTCTACTGGGAAGGTTACCATTCCCTCGGAATCAACCAAAGGTTTGCCAGAAGTCTGAAGAAATACAAAACCCACTAATAGGAAGCAGCAAATAACAGTGATAGATATAAATGTCTGGAAAGCAAAAGTAAAAAATTAAGCTTTGTAACTAAACGAGTTACAAAATTCTGTTAATTTTTCTTTGTAATACATGCGTGTATTTTTCTGCACTCTCACCTTTTGTGGAGGGTGTTCAAAATAATTACAATGATATTTAGTGTTAGTATACGTGGTATGTATACAAGGTCATGTGTGGTGTGTATACAAGGTGTTAGTATACAAGATGTTAGCATGCGTGGATATTTGGTGTTAGTACACTTTTGTTGGGATGAGAAACCAGCATAGGTTTTGAAAAGCATTACACTGTACATGCGCTTGTCATTAACAGTGGCACACATCAAACAGATAATCAACCCCGATATGCATTCGGATGATTTCGATCGAATACGGATTGGATTCGGATTTAATCAAACTTTTGCCGTTTACTCTGATTCGATATTTGTTACTTAAGATCCTTTTTTCTCAGGGAAATTTAATATTTATAAGCTATTTAACGGAAATTAGAATCTGCGAAATAATACTGTTCTTGATTGGATTACAAAGGAAGGGGGATAAATCTGCTTTTTAATCAGTTCATAGGGTTTCCCTTGACCTGGTAATTCTAATTAGTCCAATAACCCTAAAAACGTGAAGATAATCATCGCAATGTCGGAAGCAATGTGAGAATGTTAAAAATAACCTTTTTATTTAAACAGAATTTAGAACACAAAGGCTCTCTCTCTTGTGCTACAGTATGAGCCACAACTCGGGGTGAATGCAATTAAATAGAGCAGTCAAATTTGAGTTAAACGTGGAACAGTAATCAAAGATTTCACAGTTAGTTACTATACTAGAAGGTGGTTCACTGTTCTAGCGGAGCATCAGAATTTAAGTGTCAGCAGCGATAGGATACAAGCCTGAATAATTACAACTAATCAGAGCCAGCAGGAAACTAACAACCGTAGCGCGCATGCGATGCCAGAAACAAGCTCTGTCTTGAAATCCAAAAAGTTCGCTTTAAATATTGGCTACACATTTGTCTTCTTGTGAGGAATACGGAAAAGAGAAGTTATAATAAAGGATGAAATTATAAATAAATGGCTAATTAACATACAATTTCCTATAAGTTCGGCATATTTGGGAGCAAATCTTAGGTAATTTAGGTGATGAGTTATTAAATTATGTAAAGCTCGCAACTTTGGCATGGAAATCTTGAAGATACCTTGGGCTTTCCTACACTCAATGGTTTATAGAACCGACTTAAATATTAGATATTTCTAGGCCATATTATCTCATAGTTGACCCGAGGAGTCGAGAGAAGTAGCAAGCGTTTTTCATCGCTCCGCCTTAAAGCCGTGTATATGCAGATATAGTGTGTGACAATAGTCAAAAATAGTATCATCGCAAAGAGCAAGCTCTGTAGTACATGTTGATTAACGATTTTGACCGTGTGATGCTTATGAAAATTATTAAGGAATATTAAAGTATCTCCATTTACGTGCATTGTGTAAAGCAAGGAGCTACAACTTCCCTAGAAGCGGCACTGCCGTTCGATAGGTCCGAGCTACCACCCGTGAACTTTGACCTTCGCAGAGCAGCAGTGCAACCTTCCCCGCCTCCCCCCTGCAAAGGGACTTATGGAGCTGCAATAAGGAGAGATAACAAATGGAAGTGAGTGATTATTTTCAAAGTCATATCTCCGCTGCTAATTACTTTAGCGCCTCCAAGCTAATTTTCCCATAAACAGCATATCGAGTGGAACCAAAGTTTCTAAAATTGAAGAAATTCGGACTGTTAGTTCGAAAACTCCAAGTCTAGCTTTTTATACAGTTTCGTTCGAACATTTTACACAGCGAAGGACACCACCAACTCAAAATTCAAATTTGACGAAATAGTAAGTTAATTGGTTTTAGTGATTTAAGCAAATTTTTCAATGACAAGCAATTATTTTTCAACGCTTCTAAATTTACGTTTACATCTGTGCGGGAAGAGTGTTCTAGTCTGAATTTTGCAAGCCGATCTATACATACAACTAATAAGCTTCAGTTAAATTAGTGACTACATCTGTGTGTACAGCGTTATAGAGTGAATTTAGGCAAGGCCATCCCGTGTTCCGCTACTAGATAATACCCAGTCAATTCGGGTAATTACATTAGTGTCTGTGTTTTTAGTGTATGTAACCAACTTAAAAAACAGTATGCATGTTTCAGAATGTGTTTTATCTGTGGATTCTTATGAAGAGAATGAGAATAGATGTACATCTATCATAAGGTAGGATTTTAAATATTGTTTATTGCATTGGAGCATTTTTGAGTTTTCATCTTGCATGCCGACAGTTTAACTATCCTCTCTGCTAAAATCTACAAGTGTCGCAAATTTCTGTAAATAATTTGTAATAACTTCCGCAACGTACGTTCAGTGGTCTCGTTCCGTCTTGTATTATTGTACCTTTATTATTCTACATTACATAGTCATTTTAATTCTCAAACATTGTGCTTATCGAATATTATAATTTTAATTATTGTATTCTTTGAATATTCCTAGTATATGTTGCACTTATCATAATTTAAACATATTAATTCTCAAATATTGTGCTTATCGGTCATCGTAATTTTAATTTCAGTGTTATTTGAATATGCCTAGTATATAACGCTGAAACCATCATAATTTAAACATTTCAATTCTCAAACATTGTGCCTATCGGATATTATAATTTTAATTTCTGTATATTTGAATATTCCTAGCATATGTTGCCCATCATAACTCGTGTTAATACTCGTGTAAACATACTCGTGTAAATAACACGAGTTGAGTACGGGTTGAGTGTAAATAGTGTATCTCAGTTCTCCGTAGTTTTTCTCTCACTTCATTGTACTTTGTATAATTGAATTAATTCTTTGTTTTGATTTTTTTCTTTGGTATTGGGTTATCTTATGTGTAGCTGTTTAATAATTTTATTAACGCTGTGCATTTCCCCTATGTTTTGTTCTGAGCTATTAGCTCATACATATTATGCAATTTTTTTTAATAGTATTTAGTGTGTTCAATTAAGTTAATTTACTTCCAACTGTTTAATTCTTAGATTACCTGTATATGCTTATTTAAAGGGGCTGGGCTGGCGGTCGAGGCTCTGTACCCTACTGAGAGGATCTCTCAGTGCGACGGTGCATATAATTCTACGCAATTACCATCCTAGTGCTGAGTTATACCTACTTGTATTATATTACTTGATGAGTTAAACCTACTTGTATTGTTTATGCCAGATAATTTCTAGTCACTAGAAATGAGCTCGCAAACTCCAAAATCCCAAGCAAACTCAGATGGTGCTATGATTAATGTGAACGCTTTCCCTCCAGCTGAGACGCGTACCACTAACTATCAACTCACCAGCTTCCAGAATCGAGACCATCAATCATCTTAGCGACCAGCTACATTCATTTTAATGCAAACAAGAGACAGCCGCAAATTCAGCGTGAGCGAGAACAAAAACTGCTTGGTTCATTAATTACCTCTATCCGCAATACTTTTGCAGAACAAGAAGTGTACTGTGCAAGTCTGCAAGGAAAAATTCAGCTGCTGCAACAGCAACTCAGCGTGAATGATAATCGTTCTTTAACAGTTCCGGCCACCCCAGAAGACCTTCCAGAACAGACGGAAACAGAAGAAACCCCATTTACCGAAGTCAAAAAGAGAAAAAGAAAAGCACGAACTGTGGCAACTTAACAAACAGTTATCAGACCACGTCCTCCTATTAAAAGCAAAAGAAACAGATAGAACTCCAGAACAAGTCAGAACACAGTTGACTACTGAACTTAGTGCCAAGGGAACTGGGCATTACTGTTGAAGAAGTGCGGCCCACACGCTCTAACGAACTTTTAATTAGGTGCAGCTACACAGACAAAATATAGAAACACTCAGGAAAGCGATTGAGGAAAAGCCCTCACTCTCAGCAGCAGTCACGCTCAGAGAGCCCTCTTTCAGAAAGTCCACAATAATCGTCTTTGGTACCCCCCCCCCACATCCGCAGCAGCAGACGACATACGGTGAAGCTTTTGCGAGCCTGGTGCCCCTCAGCAAGTGAAGAACAAATACATCCCAAGAAATCCTATTCGCACAACTAACCGGCCATCACCTGGATCGTCGACCTACAAGCAGAATCTGTACGAGGATATTGAGGATATTGAGGATATAGGACCTTAGAAGAATTCTTATAGGATTTCAGCTCTTGTGCTTTCAGAAAATACTTTCAAGTTGCAAGGTGTTTTAATTGTCAGCGGCTAGGACACTTGAGTCATTCTTGTAAAGCAGCGTTGGCCTGTGTAAACTGTGGACAAGCTCATAGCCAGGATAACTGCAAAGCAAAGACTCCACACTGCGTCAATTGCGCAACTCACAATAAATCCAAAGGCACTAGCTTCGACACCACACACCCGTCTAGTGCAAGACAATGTCAAGCCTACAAGGCAGAAACTGTTCAGAATGAAATCAACGGCGCAGTGGTAGATGAACAGCAGGCTATTGCATATCCAAGTACAGTACATGGTTTTTGCAAGTTCTTCAAAGCAACTTGCAACGCAGCCAAGCCGCAACTGTCCATGCAGCCCAGGTTATTCTAGAAAACAATGTAGATCTAGCCGCACTACAAGAGTTTCATTCCATTAACAACAAGGATCACAGGATTCAGCAACTTCAAAACTTACCATTCAGTAGGCAATCAAGCAGCCATCGCCTACAATGGTCCACTCACGCCCCTGCTAATGCATAAAGGAGATTATTACACAGTTACTGTACAACTGGAAGGGCCTTATGGTCAAATTGCCATCACCAGCGTGTATTTTCCTCCTTCGCACGACATTGTCACTGCACTCCAGGAGCTGGAACAAGTCATGATGATTCCGACTAGGAATAAGATAATCGCTGGGGACTGACTTTAACGCTGCTAGCCCTCTATGGGGTGCGCCAGAGGGAAAACAGGCGTGCTTGCCCTGTCCTTGACTTCATCACTTCTCATAACCTTGCAGTCGTCAACCCCACCG